ATATGCAGACATGTTGCTTAGTTTGCTTACTATCAAAAATTTTCTCTGTACACTGTATTACAACTAGAGGCTTATATAAGACTTACTTCCTTAATTTCATTGATTGCAGATGAGACAAGAGTGAAGGAGTTCTGACTAAAATCTATGTGGAGGAACCCTAATGGCACAATTAGAAACATCTTAAATGGTTTCTGTCCAATTGTAGTCTTTAATATTTAATCGTTTCCTAATGGAATTTCAAATGTTTGGTGTGGATGGACTGCAAGGTTATTGGACTTCGTCCAGAAGTTGGAGGCTGCTTGTATTGAGAGAGTGGAGGCAGGAAAGATGACCAAGGATCTTGCCATTTTAGTTCATGGACCCAAGTGATTTGCATGTGCCCTGATATAATACAATTGCTCTTCATTATTTTTATGTTTTTTTGTGGATTTTTATTCTCCTAAAGTGTCTTTGGTATTTCCTGTTGGGTCACATAGCTTTCTGTGGTTTGAGCATAGAGGGTTAGGGAATAACTAGGCTCAGTTAGTTGAAGAGCCAGTTCTTTATATTACATAACCATCAGAATTCCTATTTGGTAGTTTTTGGATAGTTGGGACTTTTTAACGTATAAGAAGCATATTGTGAAACTTGCCCTCTATGCTATAGCCAAACTCTTGGAGTTTGAGACTTCCAAATTGGAGGTCTCATATTCAAACCTTCCAACAAGCAGGGAGGCCATACCCTATAGTATGGCCGCATTTAGATTTACCAAAGGATATATATTGTGAGACTTGAAATTGGTATCATTCTCTGTAATGTTGGAAAGGTAAATGACTCGTTCATCAATAGAATATGAACCAGAGCAAATGTTGCCAAAGAAGTTCCTTGGTAAGGCATAGACTTAGTTGAACCAAAAGTAAGCTAAATTTGTTTATATTTACTTCAGTACTTTTGATGCATGCAGCGTATCAAGAGAATTTTACCTGAACACTGAAGAATTCATTGACGCTGTTGCACAAAATTTTGAGTCAAAGCTACGGGAACCAGCACCATGTGAGTAAATACTCTGTTTTCCTGTAAGGTCTATATATCATCATATCGGAAAGTTTGAAAAATCAGAAGATAACTAGGAGTTCATAGATAGCAGAATGAGGCACACATAACCAATTACTGAACTTCAGATATATAATATAATTGGAAGTGTTTTGTTTTTCCCAGTAAGATTGAGATGAGAATTCTGATTTAATTACCTTTGTTTTTATTTTCTATTACAATAAGAAACTTGGCATCATGGTATCCTCTGATAATGAGAGTGCCTGTTTCTTCTTACAATCATGAAGTTGAAAATACCGGAGATTCCTACAGGCATACCATCAGAAAAACTTCCTTGACCAATTGGATAGATCAAGAAAACAGCAGCCGCAGCTGCAACAGGAGCTGAATATGCAACAGCGATCCAAGGGCGCATACCCAGACGGAAACTAAGTTCCCACTCACGACCCATGTAACAAGCTACACCAAGTAAGAAGTGTGACACAGGGATCATAATCATATAACTATTCCTATTTCAATTCATTTTGGATTTTGACATAAATTTTAAATATGATATATTTACAAAACATAATATAAATTTTATAAATTTCTTCATTATTTTACAACACCATTATTTTTTTAAAACATTAAATAATAAACTATACAATAAAAATAAAAATTTTTTTTTTCTCTTAATCCCTCTTCACATATTTCAGAGGGAGATTTAAATTTTTATCCTCTTATGGCAAAGGCTTTTGAACACGGTCGTCAAACATTCGACTTAGAATCCAACTTTCTTCTACGATCTTTTGACCACCAATAAGGGACAACGCACCTTTCAATTTATTAAACCGGCGCCGGTTATAAATATTCTGACCAAAACGACTAAAACCGATTCATTCAA